ATAGTGAAAAACAATAATAAGCAAGCCGAAATCAAAAGATGGGCTGAGAGAGGAAAGAAGCAATATGTAAAGGGATATACAAAATATAAATAAATATTTTCTCTGTTGTTAAGGCTCTATGGAGTGATAGAATCTACTTATCAATCACAGTTTGTCTTTTGTTTTGTGTTCCTGGACAGTATGACCATCTTTGAAAAAAGGGTGATCTTTGATCTCCTGCCCTGGGGCGAGCACCAGCAGATGTTCTTTTGTTCTTTTCTCCATATTCAGTGTCCCTCACCTCCTAAAGCTGAAGTGTGCTCCCCAAAACTGACAGGTGTTTCTCTGTTTGATTGCAAAAAGATGGATTTAGGCTAAATGTGACCTGAAACCTTCAAAGTGGAAGGGCCTCCCAGCATGCTTGCGAACTGGTGGGAGGGAAGGCTGTTGTAACATCTGCACTTCTGAGAACATTAGCAAATCATACACAGATGTCAAGAAGAAATAGGCTTGGCCATTCTGTTAGGAGGGACTCTAGCACACTCTTTCATCCTGGGTGAATTTCTGGGGTGATTCTGTCTGCTGAGCTTCTCAGTGATTTTTTTTCCTTATTTGTGAGATGGGTGTAATGGCACTTCTCTGCCTTTCAGAGACATTAGGGAGAAGAAATAAATTATGGGTTTTGTGGTGTCTGAGCAGTACTATAAGACAGGCATGTGAGTACATATGGCATCATGAGCTGGGCTGAGAGGAAAGGCTAATCACATGAGCACTATATCTTAAGGAGGCCAATCCTTTCTTTACCTGTGCCTCAGCTGGCATAAAAATCTGACACTAGCTAATGAAAGCAATAAAGCTATCCAATCTTATTGATGGCTATGGAGATTTCTTGGACATGAGGAGCTCTGTGTTCTACTCTTGTATATTGATAAAGTTGTCTCTGGGCTGTGCACAGCATTTCTGGATGTTCAGTGAAGTCCCAGAGCTACACGCCCTCCTGAGACACCAATTAATGCTTCAATCTTACTATGTGAGTGGTGCACATTCCTTTTTTTGCATAAAGGTCCTTCTGCCTTTCATCATTCCTCAGGTAAGAAGCATGAATTTGTTGAATGTGGTGGATGTGTCATGCCAGTCCTTTCCTGGAAGATGCCAGATCCTCTCCTCCACTTTGAGAGGCAGACTGAGCATGGGCATTAGTATTCCTACAAATATTTAATGCTCAGTTGTCTTGCATAGGCTTTCATGCACCAAACTATGACTGGTATTGCTGCCCCAGGGCAGGATGGCATGAGAATCTTCCCTCGTCCTACATTCATTGGACCCCCTTCTCTCTCCAAGTGTTATCCATCAAATCACTGTTGAGAACTCCCTGTAACTTCTCCATGAGTTGAATGCTGCTCCAGTCACGATTTTTCATAGAGATTCCCAGGCTGTCTGAATTTCTAAGAGGAAGCTTTTGGCTCTTCAGGCACCATTTACACATTGTTTTGAAGTAGTTCATACTGCACTAGTTATAATTGTTAAGATGTAACACCCAGCTGCAATGTGCAATCCAACTTCAAATTTATTGGGAAGAACTTCAACATGAAATATTGCAGACCTCCCAGCTTGTTTCAAACAGCTAAGAAAAGTCATTGAAATATCCTGCTATACAGGTTGGGATTAAAGTACAGGAATCATTTATGATAAATGAGGAAGGCAAATTCATCATATATTAAGCATGCTTTATTCAATGTGAGGCACACCCTCAAAATTATATTTTTTTTGTTAAAGGACAGGAAGATTTCTTGCTTTCTAAGGTTTTCTCTCTCCCTCTCTCTCCCCCTCCCCACACATACATGCTTGGGCAAACACACACACAAGCACAAGCCTTCTCTTTCTCTGGGTGTAAAGCATGATGGACATCTGGTTTCCAGGCTCAGTCTTCACCCCCAGAGACAAAGAACAACGTCATTGTTTGAATATGTTCTTTAGAGGTTGACATTTGGGGAATTTATCTGCTATCCTCCAACAAGTGAGACCATTCCAACATTTTTGTGCACTGTGTAAACCACAGATTAATTGCACAAATTATATGAATTATCCTAAAATTTTTGGGTAATGTTTGCCCTGTCAACACTGTAATTGAGACGACTGGGCACGTGGAAAACCTGCATGTGGCAAGCTTGACAATCCATGATGCAGATGCAGAGGCAATTTACATCTACCTCTGCTTAGAATAAGTCCTGCAAGGACTGTATTCTGCAAGTAGAATAGGTAATGTGAGACTTTGATCAAAACAAAAAAGCAGTGGTCTTCCATAATACTAGGTAATATGGAGGGTGTGTAGCTGTCTTCCAAATGCCAGGTTGACTTCCAAGTGTGTGTATGGTGGTGGGGGGAAATATTGAAGTCGTAGATTTTATTGTTTCAGCAAATAAAACTCTTTCTTGCTTGGGAAATCAGACACAGTAGTGAAGGGAAAAAAAAAACCAAACAATTTTTAATGATTTGTGTCCACATCAGCTGAACTCTACTGTCTGTGGTTTGGGCCAAGTGGTGGTGCCTCACAGGGTGTATCCCACTGGTCATGTCCAACCTGCCTTGTCATTTTGAAGAGGTGTTAGTGCAATATCTGGATTTGTGATGGAAGACATGAGATCAATGACCCAGAGTATTCCTTTATATCAACGAATAGAAGCAAAATATCTGTAACAGTCAAACAATTTCTTAGAGGTTATGTTCAAAGTGCTGAGAACTACAAACATTTAGGATTCGCAGGCAATCACATCCCTTCTCCTTTCACTGAGATGGAAACCAGAACAGAGGATGGTGAAGGCTGACACCTACTTGAGCTCAGAGGCTTCTGAGGAAGCTGCAGTTCTCACTTTAAATATGGAAAGAGGATTTTAACATAGGTTTATTTCTGGACCTCCCAAAAATTTCATTCAGAATTTCCCAAGTCTGTATAAGTTCTCAGAGTCACTGGAATGGGCTTGTTACCAAAGGTAGAGGGGTGTTGATAGTTATTCAATGCAATTTGTATAAATTAGGTGTTTGGGGAATCAGTACAGTCTCTGACTTAGGGCAAGAATTCCCTTCTCTGAGATACTTGAGACTGAAGGAACTCAGGCTTGGAGCTCGGGAAGACATGGAGCAGAGTGCAGGACAGGAAAGGAGTGCGAATATCTAAACCAGACAAGGTATGTGTCCAAAGGAGAAATTCCAGTGTGCCTTCACATGCCTTGAAAGTGAAGGGCAAGTGAAAACTTGATTTTGCTACAGTGAAGAGAAAAATTCCCATTGTGTTCAACGGGGCTGGGATTTCATCCAAGACCTCCAAATTATTCTAAGACACTCATGTAGCCCACATTTAATCTTTTAGAAAGAGTATTATGTTTCCAGAAATTATCAGTTTTCTAATTTTCTGACTTCATCATTTGCAATGCCCCTGTCATGACTTCTTTTTATACAACACATTTTTTTTTCTTTTTTTTTTTATTCAGTCTTGCACACATCATCATTATACCACCAAAGATCAAAGATCCATAGCATAAGGTAAAAATAACTGCTTGCAAATAATAGATACATGTTTTTTAATAAACTTTTAGTACTTAATAAAGTAAAATACCCGGATAAAACCTGGAAGATGAAGAAATACCAGGTATGTTCTTGATTTGACTTGGGACAGGATTTCACCCCACATTTTTATGAGAAATATTTAGCACACAGACATTCCACCCCCTCGTATCTCCACCCCCGTATATTTCAAAGCAAGAACAGAAGGCAACGCAAAAGTAGCTGCCACCATCCACAAGATAATTCTTTCAAACGTCTCTCAGCATTCTAAACCATAATCTAAACTTATGTCCACATAACAAATAACAGCCCTTTGAAATGAACTGAGAAACTGTAAAGCCATTAAGAAAATGTGCCATTAAGAAAAGGATTTCAGCATTTCCTATGAAAAAGGTTCCCAATGTATGTATTTCCACATGTTCAGAGAAATGATTAAAGTGTTTATAGCTTTTGTAATTGGTCTCTCTCAATTTAAAAATATAGGCTTTTTTTAACGTTACATTTCTCTGCCGCTCTTTGTCTAGAATAGCATTAATGAAGTCCCATTTTCCAAGTTGCCGAAGGTAGGAGATAGGGAAGCGATGTGTTTAAGGGAGCAGGCTCGGGAAGCATGCCGTCTGTCTGCCCGTGTTCCAGCCAGCACGGGCTCCCGTTAATGTGTCCATTAGCCACGGCGCGCTCCCGGGGCTCTGGGGCTGCCGTGCTCCCCGCGACGCTGCAGCGCATATGGCACCAGGGAACGGGGCTCCTTCTCTCTCTCAGAGCACCCTCTGCATGCTGCTGACCAAGACAGCACAGCGTGTTTGGAGGAAGACACCTAATCATTTTCCTTGGGTCCAGTCGGGGGTGGTCAGCACCCTGAGAAAGCCAAACTCCATCACCAAATCCCCAAAAAGCAGCGAAAAGAAGGAGGGCACTGCTAAAGCAGTCCCTTTCCAAAGCGTATCCGGCCCTTTATAAGAGAGCTTTTGCTCTGCTCTGGTAAATGCTATAAACATACTGGCTGCAGTGATAGAAACCACATGTATGGCCTGGTGTTCAGTGAGTGAGTGAATCAGTAACAGCTTGGTCCTGGAGGCCAAAGCCACTTTCATCACCTACAGATCATGGCTTTTGGAGTGGTTTGTGGCTCCTTTAGGCCAGTCCAGAAGAGACAGTGAAAGATTTTCATCCAGATTCCAGATGAATAAATCTGTTTTATAGATAAGAATATATGCATAGATATGCTTTTTTTTTCATAGGAACTGTCAATCAGGTCACATGTAAATTTTTTTTTTCATTCTATTATTTTCTTTTATCTGTTAATATAAAGCTTTAGGTTTTGTTCCATTTGTAAAAGCATATATCAAATGTTTCGTTATTTCTTTTTATAATACCCCAGGAGAGGGTGTTTTACCTTTCCTTTTGTAAATTATCTTAAGTAGAAATTGTCAATCTGGAATTGACAGGTATTTGTTATAGAAAACAAGGCATTGTTCCCATTTTGCTTCATCCACCAACACAGGTGCTGCTGTCATATGTCACAACAATGGAGAAACTTATTAAACTATATAGAGCAATAATACTATAATATAAAGATATGAGGGTGAAAAAATCTTAGTATGTGTTTGCTGGCTGGAGGTATGAAATCCTATCCTTCATGTAGTTGATCTGACAATGCTCTGACACTCCCACAAATCTCTTCCTTCTTGGCTTCTTCTTCCAAGAATGCCCTTATAAACTATTGACGTTCCCCCTCTCCCCCTCTCCCCCTCTCCAAAGCTATCAAATAACAGTAGGACAGAGGCATAACTCTATCAGTGAGGTTGTTCCTCACCTGTTGAGTTGCTGAAGGAAAAAAGACATGGATTTTGTGGGAGCCAGGATTACTCTGGTATAATTACAGAAAGTCTGGGCCAGTCGCTGGATTACATTGTGGAATGTGTCGTGACTGATGCAAATATCCACAGGCAATTCTTCTGTCAAAGGCTGGCCTAGATACAGGGAAATTCCTAAGTAACTTGCTAAAGAGTCCCTGTTTTGTGAGCCTGTCAAAGGAGGCGACAGTGGTCTTTGCTGGGCTGGTGGTGCTACTGACCCTGGGCTGTGGCACTGTTGGCTGGAGAGAGTTTTAGTCTAGAAAAGGCCTGAGCTGCAGAATCTGGGACAGGATTCAACTCACATCACTCGAATTTCGGGTTGAATGTGATAAATTAGAGCATTGCCATCCTCTGACTGGCAGCAAATCAAATGAGTTCTTTGGGCTTTTTTTCCTTCACCACAAAGAACAAGAACAGGAACAAATGCTGGGAGAGGAGAGAAAGAAGTGACATCATCTGTGGAAAAGTTTTACTTTTTTTTCCTGCCTGAAGGACTGTTTTGATTTCCAACTGCATCTCAGGTAAGAATGAAACATGATATTAGATTGAATGCACCAGCTGAGTGTAAATGGAAATACTTGCAGTTGAAGAGAGGGAGAGACAACATTGTGCTGCGTTTTCTATATCTTTCTGATATTTGTAGAGACCAAGCAGCTTCTGGCCTAGCTTCAAATAGCTGAAACCTTGGTCAAGTAATTTTAATTGTCTCAGTCTCAGTGGGATCATGGCAGTGGCTGGGGTTATATGGAATACTCCGTAAGCTTTCACTACTCCCACCCCTGTGTACTCTAGCCCTTTTCCTAAACCCCATCTTTCCTTTGCTGTGGTATGGGAGAGCTGGTGATTTGGAGCCAGCTACATATGCTTTATGTTTCCTGAAGATTAAAACCCATGTGTAATGCTCCATAGTCTGTCAACAGCCAGCTTGGGAAAGAGACCAAGGACTAGAAAGCCAAAACCAGACTGTTAGATCAATCATGGCCAAGATGTGCTTCTCACTTATAAAAGCTAAAATAAAACCAGCCAGGCAATAAGTTTGTCCTTTGCAATGTTGGAAGACTGCTGCCCCCCATCCTGGGTCTGATTCTCTGTGTGTCAGACTATACACAAATCTGCAAGAGAAGATATTGCTTGTGTGTTTAAAGTACTTCTGCCATCAGACAGGGAGAAGACAGCTGTCTACAGTAAGTATCCAGCCTTGGGATAAGTAGCCAATGATTTGTGTTCCTTTTTTTTTTTTTTTTTTTTGCGTTAGTGTAGTATTAAATAGTAGTCTGAAACGATCTGCTTGTACAGAACTGAACAAAGTGGTATGTGTTCCCAAACACTAAAACCAAATTGTCAAGACACATCCTCAGAGACAGAGGGTCTTTTTTGTTTTTGCCCAAGAATGTCTTATTTAAAATGGCATTCCTTGTAAAGATGCAAATGCTATTTCTTTTAAAATGGCCCAGTACTGAGAATAAAGCAAGCAAAAGAGGAAATTAAAACTGTGACAAGAGAAGGAGGTCTGGAAAGTTGGCTTTCAACCAAATGACCTCTTGATAGATCAGTTGGGAACCAGGAATGCATGAGATTACCATGAGCTAGAAAGATTTATAGTTCTTTGTTTGGTCTCTTGGTAAGTTTTCATGTGTAGTCAGCTATATGATGGGCAATGATAGGGGAGAATGGTGGGCAAAAGCAATCCGGAGCCCCAAATATTTATTGTGATTCCCCAAAAACCATGAAATGAAGGAACTAATTAAAGATATAAAGCATTTTTTAATTTTAATTAACAACAAGCACTCTTATAAAGGAAAAACTTTGCATAGCCCTCCCCAGATCTAGCTCTCTCAGAAGAAGCTATTTGCAGGCTGTAAATTTAGCTCCAACTGCATTAGGCATGCACACGAAACTCTCTGTCGTGGGAATGGATATCTGGGTTTCTGCAATTACTACACAACCTTTTCTGAGCTGACCACCTGCAGAGGGAACATCCCTCTGTAGGGATGCATGGTAGACTGCACTACCTAAACACATCCTCAGATTGTGCCAGAGCTTCTCAGAAACTTGCGACTCTTGCAATTTCATCTCCAGAAATTTGAATGAGTATTTCTATTTTCTCATCATCCAGGTGATCAGGAACATCTGAGCATTTGTAGTTTATGTTATCCAGATTAAAAACTAAATATGATGGTCCATTAGATGCCAAGGACATTAAAATGTAAAAGCAAACAGATTACAAAATCTAATTTATGAAGCACTCTAAAATTAATAGGTAGTGCTATCAAATGGTTTTTATGTACTGGTTGTTACACCCAGGTGTATCCTGAAAGTCTGACCAGTAGAGTGAATCCAGGAAGATGGAGTGACCTCAGATATGTAAACCTTGTTAAACAGCAAAGCACACAATTTTATATTGGGTTGCAAATCTTTTTTGCCAATAATAGGACCCTAGAATTTTGAAACAAAAAAAAAACCTTTAAGCACAATTAGCAAAGTCAAGATTCTTGCAACACTTTGGTTTTAAAATGTAATTATTTACTTCTTTTCCCTCTGCAGTGTATATACCATAAATGCATGTGATATATTCACTGCATTAGTTCATTATTATTACCTATTTATTTCTTTTTTACCAATGAAGTTGTGTCCTTGTCTCTTTTCTAGGTAAAAATATATAAATAATCTTCTGCCCCAGGACAATATCATGTGAGCATCTCAGTGATGGTGCCTGTAATGTATCATTTACTAGTGTCTTTACATGGTAACTTATTCTCCCTTTCTGTTAAACCAATGAATAATATTCTCTTAGTAATTTATTCACTTGTCAAAATTGAATGTTAAGAAACCCGGAGGTTTGCCTTAAACTTATAATAGAATTTAAAGGGCAAGTATTCAAAATTCAGCTTCAAGGTGTGGACCTTTTGCATAACCTTACAAGTGCTTTCTGAGTGTTATCATTTTGTCAGTACAGTTCTGACCTGATTTGCATTCTTCACATGTCTCTCTTTAACAGGCTGGATTTTGCACATTTAAGTTGCAAGTTACTACAGGCAACAGTTGATTTGAAGATACCTTGCAAATGCAAAATAGACACCTTTTGCTGAACGTTCAGCTTTGAAACAAGAGGAGAACCAATAAGACAGCAAGGCTTTGCAAACAGAAATGTCATGACCTATGGCTTGGGGAAAAGTTTTCAAAAAAAATACGACTAATGTCTGATACTGTCAGTTATTGAGAGTCCTAATTGTGGCTGGGAGATGCCAAATTAAAAAAAAAAAGTTGAGAAATCCAAAAGGAGAGCTTTGAAAATACTAATTTGTGGGAACTGAATGACTCAATGAGTTAGTCAGTATTGGTTCTCTTCACAGATTTCTGGAGAATTCTGGCTAGTATGAACAGAACTATTCTATTCTAAGGAATTTGAAAATAAAAGAAATTAGAAGTTTGGAGAATAGTGAAGGCCTTCCCACTCAGGAGAGTGCAGCCATAAATATTTAGGAATATGAAGCTCGTCTTAAAGCTCATTACATAATTCCAAGCCAGAAAGAAAACTAACTTCTGTATTTTTAGTCTGACACTGTGTACAACCACATACTGTATTTTTATCTAGCAAGAACGAGTCCATCAAATACAAATGTAACATGTACAATGATCCTTCATTCTAGCTCTAACACAGATGGTTATCCCTATAACAAATAAATAGGAAGGCTCAGAATAGAGAAAGGATAAGAAAAATTATGACCAAGAGAAAAAAGGCCTAGTGCAGATGATCTTGTGAGACACTACTTGATCCAACTCCCCTTAAGATCTCATATCTCAAAATCACAGTGGGATAGCAGAGCCTAGGAGCACTTACTGGGGAATACAAATATGGATAACTGCAACTCCAAACTACCTGTTAAACACAGTCATATAGTATCCTGTCAGGCAGTTTGGAGCATTTTGCTCTGCTATATACTCTCCAATTTCCTCTGGAGCCCTCAAAGTCCATCTCTTCCAGTTCCTTGAAAACCTAGGCACCCTTGAGCATTTTTTTTTTAATAAAATTGCTCTTTATGGTAATATTTGTATTAGGAATAAAAGTAAGCAAATAAGAACAGCGTCCCCACTTCGATCAACTAGGACATTTTACTATTTGTTTTCCTTCTCCACTGAAGTATTTCTGTAAGGCAGTTTTATGTTGGACCTGCCAATGCTGGCAAGCCTGTGCTGTTGGTGCAGCATGGAGAATGGAGGTTAAAGTCTACACCCTGTCACTGTTCCTTCATGTGCTTCTAATTCTTCTTCCCCATTCATCCCATGACTTCTTAGTGTTCTCATCACCTGAGTCATTAGAGTCATTAGTGTTTATTCCTACTTGTTCATGAATGTTGTAAGAAAAAATGAGATGAAGATATAAACATCTTTTTGGATTGTGTTGGGGGAATCAGATAAATGTAAAGGAATGCTGCATGAGAAGTCCTGTATTCTAAGCCAGGTCTATAAGCTCACAGATTCACCACAATCCCTGCCTCGACTTCAATGTATTTAAGGCAAATCCAGAAATCTTGTCAGCTCCTACAGATTATCACAGTGGGCTACAAGACAGGTGCATAGTTAAAGCATTTCCTGAGCTTCTGGACAAGCCAGTCTTGTCCTTTGTTGCCAACTTGTGGGGTGCCCTTACACAGATTATTTAAAATATACTTTTCAAAGGTTTGCCTGGAAACATGGTGACAGGCAAAGGTATTCATCCGGGAATGCTTAGAATAAGTCAACTGGAGTCAAGATTATTAAATTCTCCTGCTGTCAGTGGCTTGCAATGCACAACTTGCACTTATTTGAGTAAGCTGCTCTGTTGTGGCCTCTGTTTATATTCTGGTCTTCTGAACCTATAAGACTTTTATTATGCAAGTTTCATAACATTTAAAAGGTAAATTAGTGATAAATATGTCCACACTTAATAATGTTGAAGTAATATCTTCACCAAACTGCAAAGATTGCAGGGATAATTCAATCTATAGATTTACAAATAATTTATTCAGTTTTTATTTTAACTAGTTTTGCTGTATGAATGAATTAAACAGCTGGCAGCTTGCCTGTCTGTTCATTGCTCTGCTCCTTTCACTCCCATTTCTAATGTTTTGCTCTTGCCCTAGCTGCTAATATGGCATCCTTTTTGCTTCACAGACATCCTCTCCAAACAAGTTAGACAAGGAAGATGCTGGAGTGTGAGGTGATGTTTTAGGGAAATTCAAAGGCATGCTTTCTTATATGATTTACTAAGTGTTCTCAGAAATATTGTTTCATTTCATAACATTTCCACTTGGGTTTTGGTTTGGGGATTGTTTTTTTTCTGGTTTTTTTTTGTTTTTTTTTTTTTTTTTTTTGGCAATCTTCTTCCCTAGTACAGTGGAGCAGATTTCTGAATGAGGCTGATGATATTTGTAATATATCCCAAGTTAATTTAGACAGCAGGTTAGCCCCTCAACAAAACTGTGGCCCATATACAAGTCAAATCTGCTTTTTTCCTTGGGCAATGATTTATTTCCCTCTT